GGAAAGAGAGAGACATGGTTTTGGTCAGCAGTGTTTTCATACGTGTTTTGCTTGTTTAGTTTTATTGAGGTTGATGGGACAACATGATCTCATAGGTTTTCTTTCATATGTAATTTATGAGGACCCTGAAAGGGACCTCCTGGGTCATGGAGTCTCAGACAACCATGTTGGATAATCTCTCATATACTAACCATTCTTCACTGTAAGTCTCATTAGGATTTTTTATTTCCATTACTTCTCTTGGAAGACTGTTCTATAACCTCATTCATCTGATGCTCAGAAACCTTCCTGTAAATTCCACCTTGAATTTATTCATGGCCAATTTATTCCCCTGCGCTTTTGTGCTAACATTATCATTGGTTTTTTTAATTGAAATGGCTCTTTTCCCTCCCTAACATTAGTTCTCTCAATGTGTAAAGGGAAAACGTATATCCTTTCTGTTTTCATTTTGTGAAGCCAAACTTGGTTGTGTAAGATGGGTTCTCCATTCCCTCATCATTGCAGGAACATTTCTTTACACCTATTCCAAGATGAATTTAATTGTTTCAAAGCAGGTGACCAGAATCATATATAATTATTCATGATAAAACCTTTACTGGTACAATATGATGGCATTCTTCCCTTCTTGTCTTAACTGGAAGTACTTTATCTCATTACTTCTTAAAATCCCATTTGCCTCTATTACTGTGTGATGTACCAGATAGCTCACAGTCATGCTGTGAACAGTTAAGACACACAGTTGATTTTTTCTCTCCACTGTAATTTTTAGTTGATCAGCATTCAGATTTACGAGAAATTCATGCAGTTAGCTGCTGTGTACGTGACCTTGTACTTCCGTACATTTCATCCGGTTTTAGTGTTTCCAGTCTTGAAGGTTCTCTGTCTTTTCCTTCATAGTGTTAAAAGCTCTTTAGGTATTCATAATGCTACTCAGTGGTGTACATTCAGCAAATGTTAGCATGGTGTTATCATTAATTAACAATTAATGAACATTTTGAATAGATATTGTTCATGGCACTCCACTAGTAATCTCCATCCAATCCAATGATGTCCCTTTCTGCATTATTTGCCTTTGTTTCCCTTTTACCCAGTTTCTTACCTACCTTAAAATTGTTATGCATTTTTTGTTTTCTATAATTTCAGTTGCTTAAGTGGCACCATGTCAAGTCCTCTGGCAGTCCTTCACATTTTCTGTCACCAGAAAATGTGTTATCTTTGAGAAAAAAGATAAGTCAGTAAGCATTATCTGTGTTTAGTTTTAATTTACTCTATATCTTTAATTATTCTTCCTTCCTTCACTTTTTCTCCCCCGTCCATTCTGCTGAGGCCTGTTACCACTTTTTCCTCCTCCTTACATATAGATGGACATTTGGCTATTCTGAAGCAATATGATCCCTACCTGATAGAACAGTTGCCAGGTTTTGCCTCTGGATTCGTGATTTCTGAGGCAGTCTCCCAACAGTGTCAGCATATTGAGTTTTACTTCTGTCTTGAATAGAGTGATTTCTGTTCTCTGCTCCTGTGTTTAACCTCTTCATCTTTATTGAAAACAACTTACAGCAAAGGATTTATTCCATTTTGGAGTTACACATAGATTAGCTTTAATATCTATTCAATCCTTACTGTGTAGCAGCGTCACTTTTTCTTTTTTGATTCCCTTTTTGCCTCTGTGGCTAAACAACCTTCTACTTTTGTTTTAATTTCCTTTCCAAGGTCTAACTCAGCTTGACTTTTTGGCAGTTCTCACTTTATCCCAGTATTACCTGACCCCTAAAACAAATCTTTTTTTTTTTTTTTTTTGGCAGTATTTTTTCCCCCATTCATTGTAGAATTCTGCTTACTCCTAGTACCTGTTGGTGTATTTTTTTTGCCTCGTGTTGCGTTTGGGGGGGGGGGGGGGGGAAGGGGGATGATATTGCATCTGTGTGAACAAGGGAGACCATTCATATAGTTTAGTCTGAGAAGCTCTTTCCTTCAAGATTTTTCACCTTGTTTGAAGTGAAAGATCCGAAATAACTTCTTCCATCTTTTTCTTTTACATTCCAAGTGTCCTCCTCACACATGAAGTCCCTTTGCTTTGGCTTAGAGAAGTAAGGTATATGGTTTGCAAAGTTTGCCCCTCTAGAATCAAGAACCCCACTTTTGATTATCCTTTCCATTTAATTTAAACTGAGGTGCCCTATGTCTACTGAAACTAGGTTACTTACCACACCAAGCTTTCCTGCAATGTCCCTGCTACTTACCGAAACAAAGTCTAAAATAACCTCATTTCTGGCTGGTTCAGTGACTGTTCTGTTAAGCAGTATGTCAGCTAGCACATGCAGGAATAATTGGGCCCTACTGTTATTAATAGCATTTGTTCTCCAATGTATATCCATGAATATAAGTTATTTCCATGTGGTTGGACAGTTGTTCTGGCTTCACAGTTACTTGGCCCTTTGATTCAGTTAAGAATTATCTTTATGCATTGTAAGAAATATTAAACATACATCAGGAGCCAACTGATATTCATTAGCCATATAAGCATGTTACAACAACTATATTAAACTACATGTGATGTACATTACATATTATGTATGAATAGCTTTTATACCATTGGGATAGTTCTGAGAATCTATTTTTAAAAATAGTTTTATTTCAGCAGTTTGGTTACAGAGGAAATGAGGCTTAGAACTGTTCAGTTGTCGGGCAGTGAAATGTTGCTGAGGATCTGATTAATTTCCAGAGCACTGACCAGGGTGTGTATGATGCTTCTGTGTTTAAGTCTTTGCAACTTCAGAGATTAAAACACTCCTTTATTTCACAGTCTCAGAGGAGCAAGGCAGGCTTGTACGCTGGAACTTATAGTCTCCTTCAGACCATTTTTATTCACTTGCATTGACACTTCTCTTCATGAGGGCAAGGTGTATTGACAGAGATAGTATAGGATTATTGCAAATAAGGAAGGGTCTGACATGTATTTCCTATTATGGTAAAGTAATTGCATGTTTAGAAATTGTGTTAAAATAAATTCTGAAGGGAGGAGAGATTTAGAAACTTAAGTGGTTAACAGAAAAGCTACGACAGATTCTCTCTCTTGTAGTACAAGAGTAAACTGGGTACAGTCTGGACTCTGTGATTTAATGATTAAATCAAAATTGCATGTTCTTTGTATTAATTGTAAGCCATTGATCTTGTGTTGTAATCATACTGTCCAGTTTGTCAGCATAGGGAGTCTGGCCATTGGCAAATGATGACAGAGATCTACAAAGAATATGTAGGCTCTGCTACAACTAAACAGCAAATGTTTTGCTGAAATGCAAACATTTTGTTGTAAGTTCTAAAAACTTGTTTATCAGATTCCCAAAAGAGGAGAATAGTAATTATTCATTAGATTGTCATTTTAAAATGTAATCACAGCACAGTAAACAGCCTCCTAGAGAGGCTGATCCAGATCCCTTTGAAATCAAAAGAAAAGGCTGCTGTTGGACCTGGTTCTAAGAGCTGAGAAATCTAAGCTGCAGACCTGGCTTCTGTGCCAGAGAGAGGGAGGGAGAGAGCGAGATCACAAGCACCATAAACAAAATGAATAAAACAGGATCTTAAAATGTGTGGTACCATCCAAGTCGCTTGCAAAATCACTTTCTCTGGCACAAAAACTAGGAAGGCCACAGTTTAGATTTCACAGGATATTAAGGACAGGGTAGTAATATCAGATATATAATAATAATAAAAATACAGTGTTGTAAAATAGTATATACTTTTTTCCCCTTTTGGAAACATACCAGGAAGTTTTCACCTTTAAACTAAACACACGCTTACAGTTTATGGAAAGAAATATTCATTCTTACGGCCTGATCATGTGAAGTGCCAGTGAGAACCATTCACTTCCATTATTTCTGAAGTTAGAAGGCACCCAGCACATGCAGAGTCAAGCTTCTTAATATGCCGTTGGATTCAAGTGATGAAGCAGTCAGCAGAACTATGTCAGTGTTTCACTGTTGCCAAACTGTAGAATCTAATTACTTCTAAAGGTTGTGCACAAACAGATAATAGACTAGATGATGATCCACTTGTGTTGGCAGATAGCAATGACACTGGAGTTGCTGCACAGTTCCATGAGACCATGGGGACCAGAGTCTACGTTCCCTGGCTGTTAGACGCTAACTTCCAACAGCTGCTCTGTAAAGGTTCTCTAAATAGACTTTGACACAAAAGTCACAATCATGGAAGTTAAAAACAGGATTCAAGTGATTTCTAGAAGCCATTCTTCAGAAGGCTAGGAAGAAGAAAATGCTTCCCACAACCCTGAATAATCTCTTCTGAATACTGTGGAGATGGTATATAGTCATGTGTAAAGACGACAATTACAAACAGAAATCTGCCACTGTTACTGCAGATTCTTCAGTTGATTGCCAGTCCTGTTTTGGTGCAATGGTTACATTATAAAGCCAAAGCTTTAAACTTCCATGTGTGTACACCATAAAAGTGGTTGACAGAGCAACTTCCTCACTCTAACATTTCAGAAAAGGAAACTATCAGATGTCCCTGTGGAGGCAGAAGAAGACTATACTAAGTTTAACAGCAGCAATCTGAAAACCAAAAAGGTAAGCAAACCCTGCATTCATGCACATTTTGCTAAAGCATAGATTAACATCAAACATTAGCACAGAGTGCCTATTTTTCTCCTCCAAAACACATCAGAAAAACAAATACAAAGTCGCAGATGTCTGTAGTTATATCTCCTTGAACTTTTCATTCTGGTTTAATTTGACAGTCTTGATGTCCCATTCTGAACCCTTCTGTACTGTTACTGTTTGACTGTATTTTATCAGTGAACATTCCAGTGAGCCTCACAGACTTTGACACGTGTTAAGGTGCTCAGCTAGTGTTTGCAAAGCTCTTTGAGATCTTTAGGTGAGAAATCCTATGGCTTAGTGATAGCAACTGTTAAATTTCAGTTATTTGAAAAAGAAACAAAGATGGCGGCATCCACTTAAATTCCAAGGGATGCTAAGACAGGCTTTATTTTTACCTAGAAATACTGCTTATGCACTTACTTATGTCAACTTAATGAAGTTAAATCAACACAGAGCTTGCTGATTGCCAGCTCCAATGCAAGTTTGGAGGCCAATTCAAATCTGAGTCCAGTGGTGCCTGCCACTGTACTATTCCTAGGAGAGCAACAGAGATGTGAAAAGAAATAGATTCTGTCTGTGTGTGCCAAAGTTGTGAGGCTTGCACTGGCTTATTTCTCTGAACATTGAAAGAAAATGAATCCTTCTCCAGTCCACTGGGAACCAAAAAGACCCTCTGTGCTGGTCTTGTGACCTTCAGACTAATGCTGACTACTTTTCATCCCTTTGCAAAGAGAAGCAGCTGGTGACAGATGCATTCCTTCCTCCCTCCAAGACCCCCAGAACTTTTTGTATTCAGGGCACGTGCTAGTTTTGAATTAAGAGGAGGATTGCCCCCTAAGTGAAGGTGATAAATAGTTTAAAATACACGTTTCCCCCATTATGTACCTATAGCTTTTGAACTGAGCATAAAGATAGACTGAGGAGAAATAATTCATTTTAACATTAAATATGATTTACTTCTGAAATAATGAAGCACATTGATGAGAGGATCTGGGAAAGAAGATAGCTCTTGGACTCTGTACAGTATACTACTCTTTTTTAAATACTTTGGCAGTGTCTTTGTTTGTATAGTAACACAGATGATCATACTGTTGTTGCATATCTCCATCCTATCCATAACCTTCTAGCTGATCCCAAGTATTGTAATTGTGAAGTCCTGCAGACTGAGGAGTATCGTAAAGAAAGGTCAATGCAAAGTTTTCTTAATAGGAAAAACAGCTAGAGATTTAAAACATAACATTTTAAAATGTAAGAAAGAAAAGAGGTCAGCTCTATAAAACGTGGCTCATAAAATGTGTTTTAGGTGTAAAAGTCTGGGAAGTTGTCCCAGTGGCCTCAAAGTGCTTTGCAAATGTTAGTTACCTTCTTCATTCTTAGCTCTTCCATCTCTTTTCCCTTTATTTCACTGCGCATAGTCTTTGATAATAAATCAGTGTGAATTATTCATCATCTGTAATGCAAGGCTGTAATTCAGCCTGCTGACAGCATAATCATGAGATTGAGTTGGAGGGTACAGTATGCATCTGTTATACTGCATGCATTATTCCTCTTAATGTACACTCAGGGATTATCCCAATGTAAACGTTTGAGTTGGGATACCTCATTCTGCAGAAAGGAAAGAGGTTTCACCTCCTTGTCCTTGTAATTGATTCTCTGTCTTTGTCTGAGGTTAAGTAATTAGTGACAAGTATTTTTCTGTTGAATAATCTTGAATTTATTTAGTAAGGTTTTTCTTCTACAATTTAAAGCCTGCATAACATTATCTTTACTGCTGTATACTAAAAAAAGCAATTCAACTTCTTGTTTGACTTCTGTATTTAGGAGTTTGTAGCTTATACTCCCCTCCTACGGAGATGCTGCTTAACTTTTTCTGTTTATCATTTCACTAACAGGCAAACAGCAAGATGTCTGCAGCACAGAAGGCTCTGGCCAAAGTTGATAAGAGTGGAATGAAATCCATTTCTACTTTCTTCAGCTCCAAACCTAAAGCATCAAAATAAAGACTTGTTCTTGAAAGAGCTTTATACAGTGGTTATTTTTATGTTAAGCTAAAGTTGTCTCCTGGGTTGGGTTTTTTTTTTGTTACTATAGTATATGCAAGGCATGTCTGTGTACGTGGTGGAGTGCGATGAAGAGATCTGTGAGCTAGTGTGGGACAGAGCTGTTATGCTTCAGTGGGGCAAGGCAGCGCCCTGCAGATATTCCAGCCTGGGTCAGGAAGACAGCCTAGCTGCATTAGTGTGGGCCTGTGAGCTGAGAAGCAAGGTTTAGCATGGTACTGTACTTGTATTGCTGCTTGTTCTAGAGCAAGCTCAGTCAAGGCCGCTGCAGAGTTTTCTCCATTGCACTGCATTCTGGGCTGGAAACATGCCCTGCTTTGAGTTTTTAAGGAGAGTTTTTTCGTTCATAAGGAACATTTTTTTTTGAGACTTCCTTGAGATTTTTACCCAGTATAACACCAGAGTAGGATGGCATCGTTAGATTTTTATGTTGACCCAGATCTAAGTGCTGATGGAAACATTGCTGTTGGTGGCAATTTATCAAGGCAAAGATAGTGTCTGTATTGGGATTTTGCTTGTTTTGAATGTTCTAGAAACAAATTGCAATAAATGTCAATGTGCATGTAATGCAATAAAGTGCTTTGTGTAACAAATTTGTGCTTGTTGTATTTGCTGTGCATTTCAAGAGTTAGATTAGGCTGCAGGACATTTCTTAAGGAGTTTTGGTATTTTCCTGTGTATAAATTTTAATCCTTAGAGAATTACAACATCACTTTGGGCTTACATGATAAATCTCTTAACACATAGCAGTATGGGGTGTTTTTATGTTCAGTTCCAAGGTCAATA